GTTTTTTTTTTTCAGGGTTGGAGCTGGACTCTGCAGGACTGCGGCTCTCTAGGACCGAACTTGCCTACCCCTGGTCCTAGTGTATTTTGGACAGGAATAATATAAAGCTTTTGCATTGTAAAAATCAGGGATTTTGGGAAATTCCAAAGTAAATATACAGGTGCATCTCAATAAATTAGAATGTCGTGGAAAAGTTCATTTATTTCAGTAATTAACTCAAATTGTGAAACTTGTGTATTAAATAAATTCAATGCACACAAACTGAAATAGTTTAAGTCTTTGGTTCTTTTAATTGTGATGATTTTGGCTCACATTTAACAAAAACCCACCAATTCACTATCTCAACAAATTAGAATATGGTGACATGCCAATTTCACAATTTGAGTTGAATTACTGAAATAAATGAACTTTTCCACGACATTCTAATTTATTGAGATGCACCCGTAGATGGATGTTAAATATTTAGTATTATGCGACATTCAGGTTGTGCTTGACATTTTGAATGGATTCCTTATTGATCACTAACATTTATTGTCAGTTACATTTAAATATATTTAGCATTTGATTCTCTTGAGCAAGTTGTTTAATTCATTCATTTATAATCTGAATACGTAATTTAAATCCCTGATTAATTGAAGATCATAATAGATGATTTTTGAGTTAAGAAATTATGCAACATCTGATTGCAATGTTTTCATTTATTTAATATTTTTGTGTAAAGATACATGTCTACACTTTTTATTATATAAAAAGCATAAACTTTTTCATTATATATATATATATATATATAAAAATCTCTGAAGAATAATGTCACCTTACATCTTGATTTTTAACACAACTTATTTTTTTTCCTCGTTTGGTCTTTAGATAATTTTAAGTCATCCCTCTCTGGAAGATTTATGAGCCCCAATAGTGTGTCCTGGTTCCATATTTTAGAACCACTGGTCTATCGGCTAATAGAGAATTAAATTCCTTCACTTTTTAATTTAAATGGTCCCATTAGCTCTATTTGATGTTAGAATTCACATATTGTTGCGTATGTTAATAACAGAACATGGCATTTGAATATTGTGATATAGCGGTTCCAAACTGTTGCATTTTGGCATAAAACTATTATGGCATTTTTCTAAGTGATACTCGTTATTCTTTCAGCGTGTGGACTTTTTGCTCTATAAAATGTACTTTTTAGAACGGTTATTATGGAGGTCTGGTAGACAATGTGCTCTATACTCTGACAAAACCCATCACTGTACGGTTCAGCAGCAGAACCTTGCGTGCACTTGGAAATCTCGCGACATCTGCGCGGAGCACTAAAGCGCTGCTGTGTCAACACCCCCGAGCGCACATCCCTCCTCAGCTGAGCTGACGCCGTCTGCCTGCCGAGAAATCCAGACTCCTGCGATGATGAGGTGAGGCTATGATCGTTACAGCCGTGTTTAGACACGCTACAGTGTCATTTCGATCATATACTAAACACAGCAGTCTTTTAACTCCGTGTACTCGAATCACAGACGAGCATTGAAATCACAGGCATGAGTAGCTTCATGACTTCCCGTGGAACAAAAAGTGGTTAGGCGCGTCTTTGCACTTGCTCTAGATTTGACTTCATATCTTCATTTTGTCAATGAAAACCAATGGACACACGATCACCCGGTTTAACCGAAATCAGCAGCATAGTAGAAAGTATGCATAGATGAATGGCTTAGGAGGAGTTTTCGCGGATAAGCTCGAATGTTTGCAGCTTCCTCCCACAGTCAGAGATGGTGTCAAAGAGCTGCATTGTGTCCAGCTGAATGTGACGGCTCGCTTTTGCCTTTGAAATGAGCGTGGCAAATGTGTAGCTGCTCAGTGTATTTTGAGTTTTCGGAATAATAATTGATGTATAAATACTCATAAATCGAAAAACCCAGCTTGTAAACGTTCATGTCAGTTTTTGAGTAATTATTACGCCACGCTACTACGCACGCATATTTTGTTTGTAGCCAACATCACTGTGTTGTGCTGTGACGGTATAATTCAGTCACAAAACGAGCCAATAGCTGTGCGTTATCAAAAAAAAAAAAAAAAATAGCTGTGCGTTATCAGCCGTTTGGTTTGTAACACGCCAAATGTTCCAAGCGAATGTAACGTTTCTGTTTCAACAATACGGTAATAAAAGGTGGAAAATTACTGTGTTTCTTGTGTAGCGGTGTTTACATTCTGTCTCTGCGCTTTCTACAAGTATAAGAATAATAATCATATCTATTTCATATTTGGTAAGCAGCCTGTAAACTCCTTCAGGGTGATAGGAGATCCCAAAATAACCCTTGTCAGGGGTTGCATTGCATTACTTAACTAAATAAATCTGTTTGAACTAAAACACCTGGTAACACACTATATTAACTTCCATTAATAAATAATTTATAAACATTACATAATGATTAACTGATCATTAGATAATATATATTCACAAAGCTAGAAATATGAGATAATGTGCTTATTAATGTTAGCTAATGAACTTATTAAACATTACATAACGATTAACAGATCATTATTTAATGTAAACTGAAATGCTTACAAATGTCATTCAACTTTCAATTCATATGATCATACAATTTAAAATAAATCTACAAATGATTTTGACAGATGGTTTACAATGATTAAAATCTTCATTAATAAATCATTAACAAATATAAAACATATAATGCTTAATAGATCATTAGTTAATATGTTAATGTTAATGATTAAACTTACATTTAGATAATGATTAGCAGATTATTTGATGTAAATAAAATCCCAACAAATCTTGTTAAACTATATATATTACAAATAATTAATTAATTATTTGTTCATGTTTTTGCAGTACCCAATCTAAAGTTGAAACTATTCATTATTTGTAGATGTTTCTAAACGTTTACTAATCATTTAGTACATATGACACTTTATCTCAATTGCAAAAAGTGTCCCAAATGACCTGAATTCACACTAATTACACATCTTTACTAATCATTTATTAATTATTTGTTCATGTTTTTACAGTACCCAAGCTAAAGTTGAAACTATTCATCAATTTTAAATGTTTATAAACTTTTACTATTAATCATTTAGTACTTTTATGGACATTGGAGTTTTAGCTAGTGTAATAACGTCTGTGTAAAGGGTAGTTAGTTAAGTTAGTTAAGACATAACAACAAGTAATTGTAATTTGGGTGCAAAACATGTTTTTAATTGCCTCAACACTCAGTTTACTATATTTTTAAATAGACGATATTCCTTGAATCATACATCAACAGGAGAGAACAAATACATGTTTAAGAAAATACTTATTCATTTATCAAATCAATGTAATATAAACAGTTTGAACCATGTCCCCTTATAGTAATTAAATTGACTCCTGTACATCGTTGACCACTTAACCAACTCTTAAACCTACCAATACCACCAAACCTGTATCTAACCATACCATTTTCACACCTCAGTAGCAGCAAAAGTGTTTTGGAGTAGAACATGAACACAATAAGTACATTGTACCTAACAATCATTATTATTTGTACATGAGTACATACTGTAGTAGTTAAAGACACCTAATATAAAGTGGGATCAGTCTTATATTGTTCAATGTTCTGTTGAACACCCAGATCGCTCAATGATACCAAACACCCTTTTTGCATTTGTACTTTTGTAAATCTAAAAAAAGTGCATTAGATAATATGTGAACTGAAGTTTAATGTCATTTGTAAGCATTTTAATTTACATTACATCTTGATTGATTAACAGATCATTATTTAATGTTTATTTAATTCATTAGTAAATATTAACAAGCACATTCTCGTATTTCTGTGAATATATATTAACTAATGATCTGTTAAGCATTATGTAATGTTTATTAATGATTTATTAATGAAAGTTATTATAAAGTGTTACCAAACACCCTCTGCGTTATGTAAGGGATAATGTACAGTCAGCTGGTTATTATGGTCAAAAAAACCCTAGAGGGATTTATTTTGTGATAATAGACAGCTGACGGATATATTTGCCAAAAAATGGACATGAAATAAAGCTTAAAGCTTCCAAGAAGAAAAGATCTGACATGTGAAGTAAACACTAGTACACTGCAGTTCAATGTTAATTATATTATTTATCGGTAAATGTTACTTTTATGTTCAAGGCTGAAATACAGTACACATTTTTAAAAATCTGAACAGATTGTAAAACACTTGACATCATACACTCATAAACTAAACAACTGAGGATCACACACTACCAGACTTTCAAGTTGTTATGAACACAACAGACTCACGCAGAAACATGCTCCTCATTGCTAGAAGATGCACAACAAATGAAAACAATGTGTGTTCTAAAATCAGCTCAAAAATATCAGACAAATTAGATCTCCAACGACTGGACAGAATCATAGCTTGAAACTAACAAATTTGAGTCTGTGCTCATCATACACTAAGCAGTTTTCTGTGAAGCCTGTCAACTCCGACTGCCCAAAATCTGCTGCCTGACTCTGACTTTAAGCAACTAGCATTGACTTAAGACTGTAAATTGGGGCAAAAGTCGTGTAGTGTATTCCAGCCGTTAACTAACACATGTATCATGACATTAAAATAGCGCTGTTGTCATGGTGAGCAGTGAAATATTTAGTTTTGCTGTCATTATACAAAAATATTTGACCTCTCAATCACGATTAACCAATAACAAAGAAATGTAAATGCTGTGTCATATAAAGAGAATATGAAATGTTACTTTTTATCGCATAAAGAGAACCACAATATTGCAAAACATTGAAACAAACAGGTTTGACACACTCTTGACTTCCCTATTCTGATTTGTTTTTCTCTACTTCAGACTATGATGAATGCAGTCTGGGCTGTCGATTGTGTAATGGAGTTGATGTGAGAATGGCAATTCCTCAGTCAAAATCAACCAAAATGGGAAAGTCCAGACTGTTCCGCATTTTTATGATTGTGGGTGCCGTCTTCATGATTCTTCTTATAATCATATACTGGGATGATGTGGGGGCCTCTAATTTTTACCTGCACACAACCATCTCTGGGCCCCATCCGTCCCGCCTCTCTCCGCAGAGCCGTCGTGACCCTGAAAAGAAAGTAGAGGAAGACAAAGAGAGCTCGTTTTTGATGGACATAGAAGCTTTTGTCAACCAGTTTTTAGAAGGAACCGCAGACCCCACGGAACAGGTGAGAGGAGAACCACCCCCTGGAGATGCCCACAATCAGTCCTCTGAGAAATCAGAGGAGAAATTTGTCCCGAGAAGAGAGTGGAAGATCCATCTGACGCCAATTGACCCTGAGAAAAAACAAAGGCAGGACAGTAGAAAGCAGCTGATCCAAGATGTGTGCAGTAACAAAAGTTATTTTGACTTCCCCGGAAAGAACAGGACTTTTGATGACATACCCAATAAAGAATTGGATCACCTCATCGTGGACGACAGGCATGGGATTATTTACTGTTACGTTCCCAAGGTGGCCTGCACAAACTGGAAGCGCATCATGATCGTGCTGAGCGAGAGCCTGTTATTGGACGGCGTGCCCTACCAAGACCCTCTAGATGTTCCTCAGGAGCTCATCCATAACAGTAGCCTGCACTTCACCTTCAACAAGTTCTGGAAGCGCTATGGAAAGTTCTCACGGCACCTCATGAAAATCAAGCTTAAGAAATACACCAAGTTTTTGTTCATCAGGGATCCTTTCGTACGACTGATCTCTGCCTATCGCAACAAATTCGAACAAGAGAACGAGGACTTCTACAAAAGATTTGCGCTTGTCATGCTGAGAAAATTCAGCAATTACTCGGATCCACCGGCATCAGTCGTGGACGCTTTTGCCACTGGGATTCGACCGTCTTTCTCAAATTTCGTTCAGTATTTATTGGATCCTAACACTGAGAAAGAGATGCCTTTCAACGAGCACTGGAGACAAATGTACCGTCTGTGCCATCCCTGCCAGATAAATTATGATTTCGTGGGGAAGCTGGAGACCTTGGATGAGGACGCTGAGCATTTGTTGCGGATTCTCCGCGTAGACAATGTTGTGGAGTTCCCACAAAGTCATCGCAATCGAACGGTCAGCAGTTGGGAGCAGGACTGGTTTGCCAACATACCATTGGAGTTCAGAAAAGAGCTGTACAGGCTCTATGAGGCCGACTTTAAACTGTTTGGATATTCTAAACCAGAGAAGCTGTTACATGAGTGATACGCTGATTGTCAACTTTACTGAGGTGCTGACAAGATTTTCACAGCTGAAGAAACAGGGCAATAGGAGTTCCTGCTGCTTGGTTCTTAATGTGCGGCTCTTTCACATGATGCTGTTTATAAACGCCCTTTCGCATGACTCGCGTCCTGAGGATCAATGTTTGGCTAGTTAGCATGGTCCAGTTAAAGGGGTCATATGATGTTGCTAAAAAGAACATTATTTGCTGACTCTTAACTTTTATAAAGAATATCTCTTTGGATTTGAGACTTTAGTCTTTGCAACTTTACAGATCTTCTTTATGCACCAAGAGCTTGTAACACTCCAAAGAGAAAGGAAAAACTGAAATCACATCATATGACCCCTTTAAGTCCTGTAGGTAGATACAGTGATTGCACCATCTGCTTCCAAAAAGCATCTTTCTCCATTGGCAGCTATTCAAAAGTACAGCGTCCCACACATGACATCAATAGAAAAAAAAAATGAAGAATTCGTATTCACAACTTAATTTGTTCCCTCATTTTAGTTAAATTGTTGCCACGTTGTACTAAGTTGTTCCCTCGTTAAATTGTGGCCAATTCATATAACTTGGCCATGATTTGACTAAATTAAAATGAGCGAATAATTTAGTACAAAGTGGCCACAATTCAAAAATAAAATGAATTAGTACACCATGGCCATGATTTAAATAAAATGAGAGAACGAATGAGTACAACATGGCCACAAATATAAGTAGTTGAGGAAATATATATATTTTTTTACCTTGTGGCCATGATATCTATTTTTTTTCTTCCACATGTCATGTATTTGTGATTCGCAAATATTATAGTGGATGTTTTACCAGTGCCCGATTTTTATTTGTATTTTTTTCTGAATCTATATTTTGAGGACTCTTTAAAAGCGTTATAAGGACGTGGTTATTTTGATATTTTTTCCTGGTCTGCTGCCTTTTACGTCACGTGATAGTCACTAGAGAAGGGTTTAATGCAGTCAGCCAGTGTCAGCGTTGCCATGATCTTACAGCTCAGGTAATTGTCTAAAAACATGCTACAAGTGAAGATGGCTGATAAGAGAAAGCATGGCATGCATTGCTGACTGTGTCACTGGCTGCACTTTGAATAGATCAGTGATAAATGGTGCAACAAACTTGAAATGTTAGTGTTGTGTTAACGTTTACCCTGTGCTGAGGGTAATGCTATAGTTTCAGGCTTCACAAAAAGTGGTTCAGTGATTGGGGTAATGCTGATTTGAGTCATGTGAAAGAGCCTTTAGGTTTTTGTTTGGCATTGAAACTAATACTGTAGTGAATATACATTCCTTGCACACAGGTTACATTTGCTCAGTCCATTTCCCAGTATCCCACTAAATGTGTTACTGTTATTTGTATAGACCTCATGGACAATTTGAGAGACATTTTGATGGTTACCTACTCAAAGAAGCCTGCATAATTTTATTTTTTTGATATGCTCAACAGTGTTTAAAAACAAACTCGTCACCTCATTAGTATTATTCTTATAATGTGAATGGATGTGATAATCCCAGCTAGAGACTTTTGTCCCTCAGTTTCAAGTTGTATAGTTGTATGTTTTACTCCAAGAACCACCAAACTAAAATATCACGTTATAATTAAAAAAAAGTATTGTACATTTAGCAAGTGCACATATTAGAGTATTTTAGAATATTTTTGTAACCTTTTACAGTTAAATGTGAAAAGTGAAGGCACTTTTGTCCTTGGAAAAAAAGCTACATAGTATTTTGAAATGCAAGAAAAAGTTTTACAGTTTTTTATTTTAAATCATAAAGGGATCACTGCCCAAGTTGGAGCATTTATGTGTCTGTTAATTTTTTCTTGTTCTTTTTTTTAATACACAGAAACCTCAATGTCTCCATGGAAAGGTTTTTTTTTACACTTGGATTTTTTTCAACCTTTTAAAGTAGTTCATGGTCCTTTATTGCACAAAATTGCCAGTGTTCTGCAGTGAAGTGAGTAAATGGAGTAACTGTCATCAAAAGGATATTTCTTTGTAATAGAGGCTGGAGAATTCAGATTATGGCCTGCTCTTGTCAAGGAAATCTTGCCTTTCATCATTTTGATCCTTTTATTCTGTTAGTGTGTAGCAGGGACTGGGTGAGCCCTCTGATCTGCAGCATGCAATAGATGTTAGCATGTGTGCCTTGCAGTCCTTCATAAATATGCATCACTCATGAATATTGTAGCAAACTAAATTTACCATTTAAAAAAAAAAATCTGTTAGATTTAGAGGGTAAAATAATGGCCTTGTTTGGATATTGTTAGGAATATAATTGCAGGCACAGGGTATTTCTTTCTTGCTTAGCAAGAGTTATTTGGTGTAATTGCTTTAGACCGTTAAAGCACAAACGTCAGTATTGTTTATAGTTCCTCTAGTCGCAAGTTGAACATGGGCATGTGCAAAATGAATATTTAATGGTTTATTAGGGTTATTTTTATAGTATTTTCTTTACCAAGAAAGTGTTTCTTTTACTTTCCATCATGTTTTTGTGCCGCATTTTGCGCATTTGATCACATGTATAAAATTGATCTCTTAAGGCAGTGAGAGATTAAAGGATGGAAGAAAGTGGATTAGATTGTATATTGTAGTAGGGAATAATACTGTGGAGCAAAAGTGTAGCATGATTGTTGTGGAAGTGACGGGCCAGAGGAAACGGGACGTCCCATTTCAGAGGAAGCCATGATTCTGAATTACCGCACTGTTGGGCCCATTCGGTAGCAGTGCCTTTGAAGAAAAGTTTACACAAAAAAAAGTATTTTTGTAAGCAAGTCTCTTGACTTGCAGTTAAAACAATCAAAGCTCCTACTTAAAAAGAAAGTGTAGTAGTGCTTATGTATTGCATCATGGAAAAGATCAGATTTGTAGCCACAATTCTGGCTGTGCTGTTGAGATTTGTCAGATCAGTTCCAACTTTTCTTATTTCATAAACCACAAGTTCTGTTACATGGGAAAAGTTTTAATACACGTGTGCAGTTGCCTATACTGTTGATTTCTGTTTCAAACTTGTGTTTTGTATACATTTGGTGCCACGTTATACAAAGAAAGGTGATATATTGTTTTGTGATTGTTTTGATGCCAATATTAAGAAAAAAAGTTTTTTTTTATCCTGCCGTACTTTTCAGTCATAGGAATTTCTTAGTTGCATGAAATATTTTCAGGAGATCACGCTGAGAACAAAAGGGAAATATTTGTTACACTAAATCAGGTCTTAGCCAATGTGTTCTTGACATTTGGTTTGGTTTGCTTTTTTCCCTTTAAGCTTTGAGCTCTTCTTTTATTTATTATGGTATTATTTAATGCATCAATTTCAAAACATAAAAGTTAAATAAAGTTCAATGCATGGTGCAAACACTGTAAAACTGTTCTTTGCCCTTTATTTGTTTTACAGTAATGTTATTCATTTCTAAAAGAACCGTGTTTATTCAGTAAAAGAGCTTTGCTGATGGTCATCCTGACTCTCTTTATATATGTGTGTGTGTGTGTATATTTATGTCATTGTAAATTACAGATTAGGAATGCATGTAAAAATTAAATTCAGATCAGAATAAATAAATGAAAAATAAATGCTAGAAATTTGACTAGAGAACATTTTCAAGAAAATACTGAAATAGAAAATACTATTTCAGTTTTTCTGTCAAAATGTCATGTTTAATTACATTTCTATTTCTAGCAATAAGATTAAATTTGAACTTTTATTTATTTATGTATATATTTTAAATATTAAGTCTTAGATTCTTGGATACAGAAATACGGGAAATGAGTGCAGTTAAATATCCAGTATCAGCCCAATACAGATAAATACAAAAAAAACCATCTGTAATGTAGGCTGATAGGTATCGTGCATCCCAAAGAAAAAAATATAGAAAATATGTTCCTTCTACAGAATATTGGATTGTTGGCAGGTCTTAACCACTAGATGGCATAAAAGTACACAAGTCCACTACATGTTGAGAACTTACATTAGGCATTAAAAGTGTGGTCATGTGATCATGCAGTGTCTTACATTATGTTTATGAAACATTCCCCACTACCTTTGATAAACTGGCTATGCAATGTATTCTTGTAGGATTAGGATAATATGGCTATTAAGGAAACAGGAGTGTTTAACAGTTGTTAGGAATCACTTGCTGGTATTTTTTGTGTTCCTTTGTCTTGTAGGTATTACCAATGTACTGAAGCAGACAGGAAGCTTCTTCCTCTGACTGTAAGGAAAGATCAGTGTGTGGAACAGTGTGGCCATGAGGACCGCAGAGGGCAGCGGTCACAGATGGCCTGAGCTCTTTCCTTTACATCACCCTCCATGGTTACATGTAACACTCAGACAAGACAGGTTTTTGTCTGTCTTGATTCCTACACAGATTTGCTCCATATTTATGCAAGTGCGCAAACACCGCAAAACTTACAATGAAAATCGGAAGGGATGTTATGATGGATATTGCTGATGTTAGTTGTTCTAGCTCTAGGCTCTTGGTAAAATGAGAAATTCTCACTCAGGATCATGAAGGGGTGTAAGCACCATATTTGCTGTATTTTGCAATTGTACTGTAAGGACTTGCAGTAATAAGAATGACACAATGTTACTGTCAGCAATCAGAATTTCTAATCATAATCCGAGGTGTAATATAGATGATTTGTATGCAAAGCTGTATAGGTAGTTTGCAATTCTATCTTAGGGTATAGACCCTAAAGATATTTGGAATAAAAGATCAACGCAATATGCAGCATGACTCATTTAATAGTTTTCATCCACAGGCTATACCAAAAAGATGAATTAAAAACGGCTGCTACCTGCTTAAAAAAAGCTGTATTTTATAGTCTAAAAATCAATATTTACCCTACACTCTAAAAAATGCTGGGTTGTTTCAACCCAACTTTGGGTCAAATATGGACTAACCCAACTTTTGGGTTAAAACTTTAATTCAAAAATTTAACCCAACAGCTGGGTTAGTCCATATTTGACCCAACGTTGGGTTGAAACAACCCAGCATTTTTTAGTGTATTAATTAGGCCTCCAGAGCTATTTATGAATCAGCTTTGGTCTGTGGGAATCTGACTAATTATTCACTGCAGATGCTCAAAAGCACATTTGAATTAAATAGGAAATAATTAAATGATTTGGGATTAAAACGAGCAAAAATGTAAACGTACACCATGATCCTGAGACCAAAACCAGTTAGAGATGTTTCA